CTTTGAGGTGAAGAACTTCATACCTCCAGTCACGTTCCAAAACATCTCATATATTATAAAATAAAATCTTCTTTATTACATTTTTTTTTTTTTTGTTCAGAACAAGAATTTAGTTAATTTTGAACATGACAGGGAATTCAAAAATATTTCAAAGATGTTACCATATTCTTCAGGCTTTTTCCACATTTTCTGAACTGAATTGGGTGCAAAATATGCAGAATTTATTTAAATATAATTAATGAATAGTGAATTTTATTATAAAATGGTATGAATTTTATTATTATTATTTGTAAATAAATAATGTGTTAAATGGAGAGAAACATACTACACTTATTGGTGGTTGAAAGCATAAAATAGAAATCTGAATTATACATTTAAACAACCTATATTTTTATATTTCACATTAGAGTAAAAAACAAAAGACCACTGTGAATAATCTCTTACAATTACTTTATTTATTGTAAAGGCCCATTCTCACCAAGAACAACTACATTAGCATCCACAAAAGTAACATCCAACTGATGATAACGATGTGTTAATTATAAGCATGCTGAAGTTTTGCCACCTTAAGTGCTTGAGCTAAAGTCGGTTGGATTCTGATTGGCTGTCAATGTTTTAACATTCATCAGCTGGAGAAAAAAAAAATGATCCCAACAATATATATATATATAACTGTGACTATTTGTCAAGATTTAGTCTCTATAAAAAAGTTATTACGTCGCCGTGTGTGTGTGTTTTTAATCTCGCAGTTGCTTTTGTTTTTTCATAATTGTGGCTTTCTATCTCTGTTGTTTATATTTTGCAGTGTGACTTTATTATTAATGTTTACCTTTTTTTTCCTTCCAGAGTATCAGTAATTCATACTTAAGGTATGTAAATCTGTATTATTTTGAATCAGTTAATTCATTAACTTGTTAGCTATATCTGCCCTGCTAAAAATCTGTATATTTTTAAGTTTTGTCTCTCATAATGTGTTTTTTTCCCCTTATAGCCCCTGTCATGTAAACCTTGGCGTCCAGGCCTCTAACTCTCCTCCAGATTTCTCAGAGTTCACAGGCCCATTTCAACTCATCATGTGGAAGAAGATGATGCACGTGTTACACACAAGTAAGTACTGTTGGTGCATTTAGGTGTGGTCACATTGTATTTGCAGGCAAAATCCAGTAATTCCAGTAGAATTCCATGAGATTGGGAATTTTGTGTGGTTAGTCATGTGAATTTGTCTTGTTGACCAACAGAAAGTAGCTTCATACATCACTATACTATTGAAAATGAACCTTTTTTTGCCCAAGAAATGTTGCTAATGTGACCACATTTGTACTCATCAGTGAGATATGTGGCACCTAGTCATGTGATTAAAATTTTTGTGACAATCTTGTCGTGAGGTTTTTAGTTACGTGCTAAACGGCTAACCAGATCTTCCCTGTTTTCCAGTGCCTCAGAATCTGACTCTGGATTTAGACACCGCTCACCCCTCATTGGCCATCAGCGACTTTGACACAAAGGTGGAGGAGGGCCGTGTACGCTCCCAGGAGCCCGACATGCCGCAGCGTTTCACCCGTTTCTTCGGGGTGCTTGCTACCGCCCAGTATTCCAGCGGGCAGCACTACTGGGAGGTGGATGTGCGGGACAAGGGGGTCTGGTATCTGGGCGTCACCACCGAGTACAGCAACCGGAAAGGTTTTGTAAACCTTTCGCCCTCTGCTGGCTACTGGAGCCTGTGTCTCCAAGACCGACTGTATGCCAATGAGGAAGACTCGCGCGTGCCTGTGGCGGACTATTGGAACTCTCCTCGTGTCGGTGTCTTCTTAGATTACGACCGAGGGCACGTTACTTTCTTCGACGCCGTCACTATGAAACGCATCTATAACTTTGTCACGTACTTTGACGAGCCCGTCTCACCCTTCTTCAGCCCAGGGAAAAACGACCCGGGCAGCCGACTACAAATATGTCATTTCTACTGAAAACGAAGCGATGCGTATGTGCAGTTTGCAACAGAGAAAACAAATAATGATAAATGCTCCTGTTTTTGTGTTTTAGTAAACATTTCAGGGCATTTTCCCTCCTGGAAGTCGGGAGGATGTTTGTTCTTAAGCTCTGCTGGGCTTTTTGGATTCAGTTGATCTGAATTTACTAGTTGCATAGAGCTTTGATACACCATAATCTGAAGGAGTGAATTGAATTTCTCTAGCTCTTGAATTATGATGTAGCCCCACTGAAATTCAGGTAGAGAGGCACTGCAGGTTTTTACGCACATGTCGACTTTAGCTGCTCCGTGTCGTCTTATGTCTTTGACCTCAGTGTTGTCTTTTGTACATCAGTGTAGAGGTGAAAATAAGGATTGAATCAGGTCAAAAAAATGGATTAATGGTTGATAACATTTCAAAGTGGAGAAATTCGGCGAATGATTTGGAAAACATATATTTAAATGTTATTAACTGCTATGTATTCCATTAAATGGCATATTTACTTTTTAAAAATTTTTTTTATTTTACTTTTTACTTTTTTATTTTCTTGTCTGTTAGGGATGTATTTGTTAGACAGACTACCCCATAATGTAATGAGAGTGTTACATAAGGCTCTGTGTTCGAACATTTCGTAATAGCTCAGACTGCAGTAGGTGCTATGCAACTTCGAGTACGCAAGTTTTCGGCGACACAGTAGATAAGATGTGCTGTGAGGAGCATCCTTCTGTTCATTCAATTATGTAGAGATTTTTATAAAGGAGTACTTCCTGAAGCTGTGTGCCATTCATGTTGCATCATTTTTATGTAGTTTTCAATGCCATTATATTAAAAAGTTTAATAGTCTAGAAATAGTCTAATCTGTCTCACGGGCTGATGATAAAGAGAGATTCTGGAAATGCTCGTTTTTGTTTCCATTCGTTCCGAAACGAGCACAAAGTGACATTTCAGCAGCTTTAGACTGAGGTCAGATGGTTTGTTGTTCATGTTGGTATTTACAGATCTAGTTTACATACTAGAACCACTGCAGTCATTTGTACAAAATGTATTTTGAGCTGAGAAAGGACCAAGGAAACACCGGACCATGAACATGCTCTCACAACACTTTGTGTTGCCCAGCTATGAAGTTTCAGTTAACATTTATAGTACTTTATTAATAATCACTGTTTATTTTTTCACAAGAAATGAGTTCAACTTGAACACATTGACTTTTTGTACATGTAATATTTTTGGATTCCTTTCAATCACTGATTTAAGAGAACTGTTACATCATCTTTGAGCCTAACTGCTGGATGGCACCACAAGTATATTTTTCTTTTGGGTGACTTGTTAAAAACCACTGCGATATGTGTTCAATGTTTTTCTCTGCAGTAATAGTCCATTTAAAAATAAAAATAAAAACAATTACTTTATTCTCAGTATTTCGTATTTCACAAGTTCCATTTTAAAAATATAAAAATCCACAGTGTATAACATTTGTAGAAATGAATCTTTTGGATTAAAAAAGGCAAAATGTAATTTTCAAGTGACTTGTATTTACAGTTTTATTTCAAACTGCAGTAATTGACCAGTAGAATGAGCATACGGTTGATTCTTCATATTATACAAGATCTTTGTTGTTTTTAAACTGATGAAGCACATTTACTAAATCATATGTCCAAGCACTAGATCATGCATTGAATAGAGTTAAGGTCCATTCACAATAAGAATGAAAACGATGTTGGCGTTTATACCATAGACTGTATAAAACAGGTTTATACCAACGGACCAACGAACATTGTTTATTCTAAACATGATTTGAGGTCAGTGCTTTTATCAATGGGAAAATCGTTCTCAAAGTGATTCCAAAGCTATTGCTTTGACGTTAGTGAAATTTTGTTGGGGGGGGAGAGTCCATTGTCTATTATCAATAGTGATCCATGGAGCTATGTAATAGTGATCTATGTTTAAATACATAAACTTGTATTTATGAAATCTGAGTGTGGATTTCTTTGGCTCTCGTGCAAAATTCCTGGTTTTGTGGATTCTAAATTTAAATAACACTGAATTTTGCTCAAGAAAACGGTAAATTTGACAGCAACTTTTTAGCAATGTTATTGTTATAAAGTTATCATTCTTATTGTGAACGGACCTTTATCGCAATGGAAGCAACTAATTATGTCAACTTGCAATTCACATATATTATGAATCAATATACACTATATAATATTTGTTTTTGGTTATTACATAATTTTTAATTTCCAGCCTGGCAATAGCAAATCATTACAGGTATCTCGCTGCTGCAGAAACCATATGCCAATGCTAGTAAAATCATTAACATGCAAAAATGTTCTTTGCACAGATATTAAGATATACTTTCACCGTTTCAACTGTGAGCCACCTTGTACAGTATCACAGAGAGTAGCCTATGAAGGAGACGTGGTGTTACATATCTATCAAAGAGACAAAACTCCACAAAATTAAAGGGAAGTGATTTTTGAAATCAATCGCTGGTGATGGACAATCTCAAAATGAATTATTCGGCAAAATGTGTACAAAACATTAAACACAAATGAAGCATAAACTAGAATACTGACTGAAGACGACAGTTGGTTGCTACACTGTGAACACAACACACCTGTATGATTGTTTACAGAGAAGAGATATACAGTGGGTACGGAAAGTATTCAGACCCCCTTAAATTTTTCACTCTTTGTTATATTGCAGCCATTTGCTAAAATCATTTAAAATGATTTTAGCAAATGGCTGCAATATAACAAAGAGTGAAAAATTTAAGGGGGTCTGAATACTTTCCGTACCCACTGTAAGTCCTCATAGCTGATCATCTTTAGAGAACATTAAAAATCAGAGGCAATATATGTGAAATACTTGGGTTTGATTATATTTCTATTTCCTCGTTCAGTTGGATTTTTCAACATGTAAAGTAGCCTTGTGCTTTAGAAAAATAAATAATTTGGAATGGAAAAAATAAGTCCTTTTTGGCTCCTTTTGTTTAGTGGTTAGATTTTTTTTTTTTAGAGAGCACAGCAGGGATGCGCATCACTTCCTGTGCTGTTGATATCTGTGAGGGATGATCAGCTCAGATGTTCGATCTGAATGATTTGAACACCCAGTTAACTGAAAGTGCTCACCGAATAGCTCAGGTATAGTGAAATCTCAGTGGCAAATGCTGTCATAGGACAATACAAGAAGCCAGTGTCATTTACATGTTACATACACCAAATATGTTCATATGTACACAAATTTGTATATTTACAAATGCAGAATGTAACAATTACAATACACAACTGTTGCAGTCATGGGAAGCTCAACCACTATGAAACAGGAGAGGAAGTTTGGAAATAATTTACTTTTCTGCAAGGGTTTAAGACAGCGATTAACAAAACGTTTTGCTATATATATATATTTTATTTATACACAACTTACATGATTTCTAATAAGAATCTGTGCTTATTGATATGGTTTCTGTTATTTACAATCAACATTCCTGGTTTAGTAGAGAAGCAGTTCTTTGTTTTGGAACATGAAAATCAGCAGAAGATTAAAGAAAAGTGCATTTTGTTCATTCGATTCTTCCTCTCTGGTTTGGCCGAGGATTTCACTGATGTGACCATGCAAACTGTGATGAACCCAAGTCGAAGGAGAGTTTGTGGCAGTACCTGAGCTGTTACTGCAGGTACCGGTAGACTTTGAAGCAGTGGTTACCAGAATCGGCCACCACAACGTGACCGTCGGAGGTTAAAGCGAGGCCCTGCGGCCCATACAGAGGGTCAGCACTTGTGTTGATGTAGGAGAGGAATGAGCCTGAGCTGTCAAACACCTGAGGAAAAAAAATTTAAATTGTCTTAAAAAGTGCTTTTAAAGTGACTAGTTTCAACTTGTAAAGAGGAAGTGGGTGTTTAGAGGATTCATTACCTGTATTCTGCTGTTGCCCCAGTCTGCTACAATGATGTTGCCGTTAACATCAACAGCTACCCCTGTGGGAGCATTAAACTGGCCGTTTCCCTCTCCATGAGACCCAAATTTAAACAAAAACTCCCCATCTGCACTGTAGACCTGAGGAGAAACAAATTTTAATCACCCATATTTAAAAAACTACAAAACGTTCTGTAACGGCCTAATGGTTAGAGTCGGACTCATAACCCAAAGGTTGTGGGTTCGAGTCTCGTACCGGCAGGGATTGTAGGTGGGGGGAGTGAATGTACAGCGCTCTCTTCCACCTTCAATACCACGACTGAGGTGCCCTTGAGCAAGCCACCGAACCCCCAACTGCTCCCCGGGCGCCGCAGCAAAAAAATGGCTGCCCACTGCTCCGGGTGTGTGTTCATGGTGTGTGTGTGCACTTTTGGATGGGATAAATGCAGAGCACTAATTCTGAGTATGGGTCACCATACTTGGCCACATGTCACCTCACTTTTTTTTTTTTTTTAAATGATCCAGTCATGCCGGTAACCTAATACAAAACATTTTATTTTACTGTGGTGCACGTCATTTTGAAATCACATGACCAGACAAATACTACTCATTTTACTTCCATTATTGGACACTTTCACTTGTGGAATAAATGAATCATTGCTGACTGCTAAATATTAATTTTTACAAAGACATCAGTACCTGAAATGTATTGCTTTTCTGTAAGAATGCACCCACACCACTAGGTGTCAGTCAAGTCAAACACAACTTAAAAGATTACTGTGCAATTTCTTTCATTAACCTAGGAAAATATATTAATATCACAGACATTATCTAAAGTGTGAGGATTGTGAAGTGCTCACCAATGCTGCATTTATTAGATTAAATACATAGTAAAAACAGTAATATTGTGAAATATTATCATGATTTAAAATAACTTTTATATTTTAATATACCAAAAAAATATAATTCTTGTTGTGTGTGATTGTCAGACCGTTGCTAGGCAGTTGCTTAGGTTTTCTGGGTGGTTGCTAGGGCATTATAAGGTGACTGCTTGCTGGTTAGCCCAAATTTAAAGGGATAGTTCACCCAAAAATGAAAATTCTGTCATCATTTACTTACTCTCGCGTTGTTCCAAACCTGTATGAATTTCCTATTTCTGTTGAGCACAAGAGAAGATATTTTAAAGAATGTTGGTAACCAAACAGATGACGGTAGCCATTGACTTCCATAGTATGAAAAACCGTCAACTGTTTCTTCAGAATTTCTTCTTTTGTGCTCAACAGAAATAAGAAACTCATACAGGTTTGGAACAACTTGAGAGTGAGTAAACGACAGAATTCTATCCATTAAGTCTCTATGATATTCTGGTCTTCAGATATAGTCCAGTTTCCTTCCTAATAATTTTATGGTCTTTTATTGTCGACCAGATGAAAATTTGTAAGTATGACCTCAACATCACTCACCTTGACGGAGTGGTTATGAAAGTCTGTCACGACAATTTCATTCTTGTTGTTGACAGCAACAAAATGTGGACCTGCATGTGAGAAAACAGAAAAATTGGGGAGAAGAGACGTTCAGACATGATAAAGAGAAAGAGAGCGGAGAGGGGAGTAGGATGATGTGATCAAGATCTCTTAACCGATTAGATAGATTTCGTGATGCTCGACAATTTGATTTCTGGCCAACTTTTGATTAGATACACACAGCACAGAATCACAGACTCTTGAATTCAGTTCTAGTATGAAGCTTAATTGATTTCAGTAAGATAAAACACCACATTCTGGGATGAGAATTCACTCAATACTTACTGAACCCATGGCCAGATTTACTAAACTTTTGCTCCAGTGCAAACTTTGCACCACTTTTGTCTAAAAAGGAATGGGAAAAACACAAACAAGGGTAAGCGGAGACAAATAAACGACAGGGCAGAAGGGATTCACGCAAATAAAAAAGTGCAGGGGCTACATTTCAAACATTTAAAGGGGTCATATGATGCTGCTAAAAATAACAGTATTTTGTGTATTTGGTGTAATGAAATGTGTTTATGCGGGTTAAGGTTCAAAAAACGCATTATTTTCCACATACTGTACATTATTGTTTCTCCTCTATGCCCCGCCTTTCTGAAACGCATCGATTTTTAAAATTGAAAACGCATCATATGACCCCTTTAAAGTAGTGTGAGGATGCAAATCAACATTAAGTGCTGGAACAAACATGGAGCAGACCAGAGGAACAATGGAGATGCACATCCCAAACCAGTCCGCATGCATTTTCCTAAGAAGGGTTAGATATATTTAAATAGTAAAATAAGCAGCAGAAGGGAAAGTGTTTGATGAACTACAAAAAGCATGACTAATATGTGTGCATCTATCAGAATATAGGCTCTTACATGTATGCATGCATTGGCCTTTACTATTTATCATACAGACAGATAATGCAACTGAAGCAATGGCTTTTGCTAAAGTGAAACAAAGGAACAGAACTGACACAAGTTTACATCCTTTCAGACACTGGAACCGAAAGCCTGGGTAAAGCTGGCCTTTTCTGTATAAAACACACCAGCCTTTTGTGGCATTTGTCTTCCCAGAAGGGTTCTTAGTTGTTGCTTTTGTAGTGAAACATCATTTAACTCTTGTTTCTTTAAGGTTTGTTGATGAAATGTAACATTTTAGGTCACAAGAAGAGTTCCTGAGCTGGACAAATGAGGTATTAGGAAGAGATGTTAGAAGACAAGCAGTCACACTGTGCACACAACACAGGCCGCTAACAACACTTCTGCAACCCTTCAGTGCTTAGATAGGTTAACCACTACAACCGCATGACATTGTTCAATATTGGCTCTATTGGCATGGCATTGGCATTGCAGTTTCTACACCCCGTACCTGCAAATTGTCTGTCTGAAGTGCCTCTGGCTCCAAACTTGGTTACTAGTTTGCCATTAGATTGAAAGATGAACACACAGCAGGCTTTATTATCCACTGCAATGATATGACCGTTCCTGTCCACAGCCACTCCTTTGGGTCCCATCAGACGGCCTGCGCCAATCTTATTCTGCATGAGGCACAGACAAAAAGAGAGGGAGGACCTTATTAAACGGCTCTTAAAAATTCTAGATTCTGATTAGTCAATCATGGCACTGAGTAAGAAAACAGAATCATTTTAATTTTAATTTATGTCAATATGTAGAGACATACCATTCAGGTCAATAAGATTTTAATTTTTCTTTATTTCCACATACACCAAAAAATTTGGGGGTGGTAATTTTTTTCTCTTATGTTCACCAAGGCTGCATTTATTTTATCACAAACACAGTAAATTACAGTAACTAACAGTAATACTGTGAAATATTATCACAATTTAAAAGAACTGTTTTAAAATGTAATTTATTCCTGTGATGGTAAAGCTGAATTTTCAGCAGGCACTACTGCAGTCTTCAGTGTCACATGATCCTTTAGAAATCATTCTAAATTGTAATAAGCTTATTTGGTGTTCAACTATTAATAATGGTTCTTATTATTATCAAACAACTTTTGTTGTTTAATATTTTGTGGAAAACGTTTTTTCCTCAGGATTGTTTGACAAACAGAAAGTTCAAAAGAACAGCATTTATTTGAAATAGAAATCTTTTGTAACAATATAAATGTATTTACTGTCACTTCTTTTTAATTAAATCTGTCTTTTGTGAATATAATTATTTTTTAATAAAAAAAAAGAACCTATCCTACCCCAAACTTTTAAATGGTAGTTTCCACAAAAATATTTTGGTATTTTTGATCAAATAACTACAGCCTTGGTTAGCATAAGAGACCTCTTTCACAAACATAAAAAAATATTAATTATTCCAAACTTTTGAGTGGTAGTGTATAGACATATATAAAGTATAAATTGTGATCTAAACATTACCTTGAATTTCCCATCAGGGGAGAAGATGCTGATCCATCTGTTATCATAATCAGCTACTATAATATCTCCATTTGTGTCCACTGCCACTCCTGTTGGCCTCTGCAGTTGTCCTGGAGAACGACCCCTGACCCCGAAGCGTGCTTTGAACTGGCCATCATTGGTAAACACCTTCAGAAAAACAAACAAAATCCAATTTTGCACTAAATGCAATAAAAATGTTTTTATATCTCTTTATTAATCCCAAGTGACACATTTGCTAATTACTTCACTATCCATTAAAATGCTTTAGATAAAATGAAGCCTATAATTTTTTATAACATTTCCATGCATTGACTGACTTGTATACACTGGTTGTTGCTGTCTGCTACAATGACCCTCCCATTATTGGAAGCAGAGATGCCCTGTAGATTGGTGAACTCTCCCTTCTCCCGTCCACGAGAGCCTGAGGGGTCAGACAAAAGAAATTCACTGCCATTCAAAATCAAAATTATATTTCACAACCATTTAATGTCAAATGTATTGCGCACACCAGGGTTATTATCCACACCAGGGTTTCTTACCTACTCTATAAATGAGCTCATCTTCAATGGGGTTTTCCTTCTTTTTGGTAGTGCTGTACATGCTGGAGGGTCTCCGTACGGCTTTCTGCCTGATGTGTCCCCCTGTTCCACTGGGAGATTTTAGCCTTCTTTTCACATCATCCGGAGACTGAGGCACGTTCGACGGCTTTATCGCCCGCAGTCTGAATGGGCTGCCCCGCACAGGCTGTCCGTACAGCATCAGAGAGAACGAGTACTCCCCTTCACTCTTAAGTGTGTACCCTACCTCATACGTTCCGTTTTTATTGTCTACGACCTCCACCTCTGTCGCCCGCTCTCCATCCTGCCCCGTTATCTCCGCTCGGAGGACCGCGTTACCGGTCCGCACAAGCTCGCTGTCCTTATCCTTAGTGGTAACAGTTACAGTCACGTGCTGACCGACCAGCGCATGCCTGAGCCCTTCTCCTGTGGCCACACTGGTGTGTCCCACGGCACCCGTCGTCAGCAGGACGCCCAGGTTCTGGATGGAGCGTCGCAGGCCTTCTGTCTCTATCTGGCAGTCCAAGTGGGCATTCTCATGCGGCCGTTCAGGGAAGTCGTGACAGGCGAGGGCGCTCACACGCTCGCTCATCTGCTTTTGGACCAGCAGGACTTCGGTGGCGCTGCCGTGGTTCAGGGCCTGCTCAGTGAAACTGCAGCTGCTCTGGATGTGCTCTTTTCCCTGCAGAAGGGACGATAGCTGCGCCTGAAGCACCTGCAGAGGACACCGCAGAAAGGAGCGTTAGAGAAATAGAAGGAGTACAACCTGTTTAACCTATCAAGAGATTTCGGACCTTCTGCTTGGTGCTACAAATGTTCTCCAGATCAGTGATGAGCGCAGCTTTGCGCTGGTGCAATGCCCTCTCGAGCTCCTCAAACGTCATGTTGATCTCATTGATGGCTTCGTTCTTCCTTTCTATCAGCTGTTGAGAGATTTCATTCACCAGCTCAATGGCAGCTGTAAGTTGGGGCAGCCTGACCAAATAAAAAACAAACAAAATCTCAGATAGAACAAATTATATAAGCAAAATTATGGAAAAGAGATCAATTATTTGGAACTGCAATATTATGCAATAATCTGCATAGTCTGCAATAATATTATTATTTCTGTGTAGTCACTACTAAAAGGAGACTTAATAATGATCATATTTTTAATATAATATTTTTAATCATAATTGTTTAATGCTTTCTAAAAATATCTAAAATATTTTTCTAAATACATATTTATATACATTTATAAAGCATATAAATTATATAGAACTAATAACAATTATATATTTTTCTATATTTAGTCACTAGTAAAATGAAACTTAATTATTATTATATATTGTTTTATATTAATATTTTTGAAAAATATTATTTTATCATTATAAGTCACTAGTAAAAGTCACATTAGTCACTAGTAAAATGAGAGTTAATAATTATTATTATATAATATTTTTATATGAATATTTTTGGAATATATTATTTTATCAATATAATAGTTTCACAACAAATACAAACACATTTACAGTATATATATATATATATATATATACATATATGTGTGTGTGTGTGTGTGTGTATAAACAAATTATATAAAACTGTGATATATTCCTTATTAGTATTATCATTATTATAGTAGTACTGTTATTTAATGATACATTTTAAAATAAAATAATACACAATTACATATTACATACAGTATATACAATATTTATTTTTTATAATATGTACACATACATACATACATATAAAATGATATATGTATGCAATATGTATGTAATGTGTTGTTATTATTAATAAAGTGATGAACTGTATATAAAACAGCTGACTGTTGTGTATGCAGCACATTTACCTGTTGCGTATAGCATCCAGCTGGTTCTTTAGTGCTGCTTTGTGCTGTTCTAGAACATCCCGCAGTGGAACGGTCACATGCTCCCTGTGTTCCCCCTCCGTGCAGTCCAGGCACATGGCCGTCTCACACGACTCGCAGTAAAACTCCATCACCTGCAGGGGCACCAGTGAGCAACCCATTCATTCAGCATCCTAAAGGATTATCAAAGGGCGCTAACGTACGCTAACAGGCCTGAACAGCGTAAACACACATGTATTATGACTTTGAAGACACATAAAAGAAAGAAGTTGGCAGCTTTCAGGTGTGTTTAAGAGGAAAGAGCAAAAACAATGAGAAAGTGACACTGCAGCCTCTGCCAATGAAAACCTGGCTCAAATGTAGAGAAATGAGAGAGGGTAAAGGAATTTCCCATTCAGACATTTCTACATTTTGGCTGCAATTTTACCAACAACTTTTTTTTTGCTTCATGTTCTCAAATGCTGCCAGATTTGGTTTCATCATCAGATGGTAAGAGGCTTACCTTGCCCTCGTGATTGGGGCAGGAGAGCGGTTTCCCAGCGGCTGCTGCGCTGACAGACTCCAGCACGCTGCAGGCCTCCGGCCGAGAACATTCTGGGTCTCTCTGCAGCACCTCCATGAGGTTTGTGATGAAGAAGTTGTTCTGTAGTGCCGCCACACCTTTCTCGGGCAAGATGGAGGTCTGTCTGCACACCGGGCAGGACAGCGTCAAGGACTGAGGGGGAATGTAGTTCTGTAGGCACCTGTGAGGAACACAAAAGGAAATGTTTGAAGAATGTTCACACTGCTATTTTCCTAACAGTAGATGGGGACCAAGTATTGTCAAGCTCAAAAAAGGGCAAATAAGCTCCATAAACCATTATAAAAGTAAGTCATATGTCTCATGCACTATATTTCAAGTCTTCTAAAGTCATACGATAGCTTTGTGTGAGGAAACAACTGAAACGTAAGTCACCATTCACAATAATTTTATGGAAAGGAGCAGCTTGAATATTCTGCTATAAATAACTCCTCTTTTGTTCCTCAGAAGCAAGAAAGTCATACAGGTTGTGAAAGATGATGACAGAATGTCCATGTTTGGGTGGAGTATCCCTTTAAGCAGGCATAGGGCAAAAACTATTGCACACTTCATCTTAAAATATAAAATTATCCTTGAAAAACAAATATTAGCAACCGTTAACATACACTAGCTTTGAAAATTTGGGGTCAGTAAGATTTTATTTTTAAAGAAATTAATACCTTTATTCAGCATGGATGCATTAAATTGATCAAATAAATGTGAATAAATAAATATTCAAAATAAATAGTTCAAATAAATGCTGTTTGTGAACCTTCTATTCATTAAAGAATCCTGGAAAAATGTATCACGGATTCCATAAAAAATATTAAGCAGCACAACTGTTTTCAACATTGATAATTATAAGAAATGTTTCTTGAGCACCAAATCTGCATATTGGAATGATTTGTGACACTGAAGACTGGAGTAATGGCTTCTGAAAATTCAGCTTTGCCATCACAAATTACATTTTAAAATATATTAAAACAGATTGTAATATTTCAAAAAAATAGTTTTCGCTGTATTTTTGCTCAAATAAATGCAGCTTCTGCGTGACTTCTTTCAAAAACATTTGAAAATCTTACCGACCTCAAACATTGGAACGGTAGTGTATCTCATATTTCATAAATAATGTACTCCTGTGAGACAGAGGGAGAATGAGAGGGCTAGCAGGGCAAGTGTTGCTGAAATTTCAGTCACAACATGAATCACAGTGGAAACACTCCGCTGACATACAACCCCACAGAAAGCACAAAACACCCAAAGAAACACATAAAGACACAGAGAGTCTCATTGTCACACTGACTGAACACTGTCATCGATGCAGAAGAAAATGTTTGTGATAGCGACAGAACATCTATGCCTAGGAATGTCAGCAGTAAGTACACAAAGTCTATATGCCATCCTATCAAAAGGTTAACAGCTGATCAATGCTTCAATCATTAAGCATGTTATTAAAACTGTGACAACTAATTTTTAGTTAGGAGCTGCTCATGTTATGCCACGGTGCTCATGTGGGAGTTCAAATGTGGCTCACGTCATTACCGGATCTCCTCCCCATCATTTCCTGTTCTCTCTCTACTACACCACAAATACTGTATGACAACATCATATTTGTTGAATGAAATCCAATACTTGTTTCTTACTAATTTGGGGGTGCTAATAGTTAAATTTTTAAGGTGAAAAATCATTGTATTACCATTAAACAGCAGAAAAACTGCCATTTGGTCAACTCCCAGCTGATTTTCACATAATAATGATTCTGAAGGCATTATTTTATGCCTAATCCTGATTTCCACTTTTTCCAACCACTTGCATATTGTCAGCTAAATTAATAAATTAAATGACCAGAATTATTTTTTTTCAAGATGAAGGACTGTGCTATTAGTAATTATGGCAACAATCACAGACCTTTCGCAGAAGGTGTGCAGGCAGGGCAGGACTTTGGGGTTGTGGTAGTGGTCCAGACAGATACTACACACCAGGAACTGCTTGTCTATCTGGCGGACCACTGGGCTTGTGCGGCCGGTCTCAAACTTCGCCATGGTGACAGACATCCACAGAGGGGGCCAGGGGCCAGGATGTACCTTAACCTGAAACGAAGAAGATGCTATGTTACTGAAAAAGAAAAACCCTCAGTCAAATAATTCATATGTACAATTCACCAACATGCATATGGTATTTATTTTTTTTTTTTTAGATTTGAATATATTTGCATTGACAAATAACTTTATCTGGCATGTAGGAAATGCAATTTTTTTAGCATAAATAAATGAAAACATTTTCACTTTTTTCATGTGTATCTGTCAATCACAGTCAGCTGTATATGATTAATATGTTCGCATCAGGAGTGTAATACATGATCAAAGATCAAAAAACTTTATACAACTTTTAGATGCAGTTTTGGAATTTTTAAAAATATGTTTATATAATTTGAATACATTTTTATTTCAGCTTTAGTTTTAGTCATGTTACAACAATTTAGATAAACATTCAAAAAGAAATGTAATCATTATTTAGTTGTTATATATATATTTATACAACAGTTCGTTCTGGTTCTCAAATCTGATTGGCAAAGTGATCTTTCAAACCATGAGATATTCTATTGGCTCAAAAAAAGATGTGCCATCTAAAATTATGCACAATTTACTAGATTAAGGGGGCGACACTTCTTACCCCACTCTCCCTTACAAGTCAGATTCAACAGAAACATAAAATAAGGCCTTTAATTCAGGAACGTTTCTTCATCTGATTAGTTTGCAGGCCAGTGATTCATTATCACTCTTTCAGTCTCTCACTTCTGCTCTCTGCCATGTTTTGACAGCGAGTTTCTTGTTCTCAGCAGAGCATGTGAGCGGAGCGGAGTGTGAGCGGAGCGGAGGGTGAGCGGAGCGGGGAGCGGAGTGGTAATATTTCTCTCAGTACTCCAGTGCCTCTGGTCCCAGTGCTGCTCTGATAATTCAGCAGAACTGACATGTGCTCTCATGGACATATGAGTGATGGTAGCGTGAGAGCTTTAAACACGGCTGACACCAGTTTCCTTTGCCCACCCTCTATAGTCCTCGTCCCCCAAACCCCCTCACCGTCTCTGATGTGATGATGAATGCAGGCTATATTCAGATGTATGTCTCAGTGGGGTAGGCTTAATAAGGGGTCATGTCCAGCAGCGGATGCCTGAGATTCTTGTGGCACAACACAGAAAGAGGAGCCAGAGCAGGTATCTGGGCTGACGGGGGCTCAAATGTAGAATGTAGAATCATGATCATGTGACTAAACATGTTGCAAAACATATTTATAAATGAGATTTGCTGGAAATGAGAAACACATTTGAAAATAAGTGCAGAACCCTTCCTGCAGTCAATGACATATAACAAAAGAAATTTAGTTTTACATTTGAGAGTACACACTTTATCATTATTTTGAATATATTTTTTACTGTAAAAAGTATCTTTTACATATATCATAGATTTATTAATGATAAATATGATTACGTTTTTGGGGAGTCACACCACATGACATTTGACCTGAACTAACCTTGTCTAGTCATAAAAATGTCATATTATCTGATATTTTAAGAGACTTACTGACACACTGTCATGAGGGTCTGCAAGGGTCCTCTATATGATTGACATCATTTTGCTTGAACCTCATGACTTTGATTTGGCAGACATTTTTACATTATTTAAAATATAAATATTGGCAAACATTGTTAAAATATATATAAGTAATGAAACTTTTTTTTTTTGTTTGATTGATTATATATATATATATATACACACACACACAATACCGGCCAAAAGTTTGGGATCAGTAAGACTTGTAATGTTTTTAAAGAAGTCTCTTATGCTCATCAAGGCTGCATTTATTTAATCAAAAATACAGAAAAAAAACAGGAATCTTGCAAAATGTTATTACAATATAAAATAACGGTTTCTATTTTAATATCCTTTCAAATATAATTTATTTCTGTGATGCAAAGCTGAATTTCCATCAGCCATTACTCCAGTCTAAAGTGTCACATGATCCTTAAGAAATCATTCTAATATGCTGATTTATTATTAGAATTATCAATGCTGGCAACAGTTGTGCTGCCAAATATTTTTTTTTGTAAACTGCGATACTGTTTTCAGGATTCTTTGATGAATAAAAAGTTAAAAAGAACAGCATTTATTTAAAATATAAATCTTTTCTAACAATAGAAATCTTTGCTATCACTTCTTAATAATTTAACACATCCTTGCTGAATAAAAGTTTTAATTTCTTTCAAAAAAAGTTTGATGAGCAGAAGAAACTCCTGTAAAAAACATTAAAAATCGCTCTGATCCCAAACTTTTGACCGGTAGTGTTTAAAGTATATATATATTTTATTTATTTATTTTTTTATATATATATAATTTAAAAAAGGAATGTTCTGTCATTGAACCAGATGCTTGCCAACCAACACAATATAAGTGACATGATTTGCTCCTAATGCTGAAGGGTGACATAAATTCACCTGTTCCACTAAAACGAGATCTGCAAGACCTTAGGGGTCAGGTCAGCGGTCAGCAACCTTAACCCAGATATAGCCTCAATTGAGAAATCAAACACTGTGTCATTGTTCAAAAGAAAAAGAACAACATTCAGCAATTGTATCATGCAGCCTCTTACAAAATGATCCCACAATGCACTCCCACTCGTCACTGTGTGCATGGCACATGTGTATACACCTTTCAAACACATTCAGCACGCATCTGCTTCTGACATCCATCAAGATTCCATGGGATGCTGAACTCATGACCTAGACTTCCAGAACTAGAGCTGCCTTAACCTCTCAAAAAAATGATATTTTACCCATGAACAACCTCAAAGCATATATTCTTACTGCTCTCGCACATGCACGTCTCCTAAAAACCTGGTAAAATCAGACTAGGCAGTGAAGGCATGAACATGATACCAACCAAAGCATGAAATCATTCCTAAACCTCAGACCAACTCTGACCAGCTTTAGGAAGGGAACCGGAGACAGAAACAAAAGCATTCTTTTCTTTCATAGCCACAGCTCTTCACTGCTCCAGTGAACACACAGACGACCGTTCACGTGCAAACACCCAAGACTGAAACACACTAGACTAGAGGGTTAAAGGAGACTCACACTTACACTCAAAAGCAAAGTGGATGCTTCTCAGGCAGGTTCCATTGTTGTTTTCTGAGATTTCAGCAGGGCCTGGTGGCTGAATAGCACAACAGATCCCCTTCCCTCTGTCTCTAGACCCCCTCCCCAGATGAACGCACCGCTCGTTGTCCCCACGCCTAGTGCACTCTCACTGCCCAAGCAACAGCTGTGATGTCACAAAGGGGCGGCTGGCTAAAGCCAAACCATGTCTACTAGGCTATGCCACTGGCTAAGGCTGAATGCAGAGCCTTTGCTCCTCCCACAAGCTCTGCTGCGATTGGCCGTTCAGTGTTATCTTCCCAAAGGCATGGATTGCCTCAGAGAGAAACAATTCCTACTGACAGATTGGGTGGGTTGGGAAAGGGAGAGGATTTGAGTTGAATGCTAGCTTTTTAGTTGCAAGCACTTTAGTGTGTGTGAAAGCTTATGATGAACAATACACAATAATGATCATATAAAAAGACTTCAGTTTAGTTTGACAATACTTTGAGTTGTAGTGCACCACAAAAAAAAGTGTTCAGTTCACAGTGCACCTGCTTTTAAAGGAAAAAGCTACTAGGTGGATAAAGCTGCTTCTACCTTCCAAAATGCACTTTTAAGTGAGTAAATGTGAATCTTTTTGAGTCACAAAAAGTGTGGGATGTTTCATTTCTGCAAGATTATTTATGTTCCCTTTATTGTTCAACTATTTTGACATGACAAAATCATCAAAATGAATGTTAATCTTGGTTTAGCTCCGGGCACTGTCCTGCTTTTGCTTGCTTGTGAACTGACTGACATATAAAGTCTTAAAACAATCGCTCGGTATGATGGTTATATAAGAGATGATGTCATTACATCTGGGTGGAGTGACTCCAGATTGCAGGATTATGAATTTCAATACCTCTGATTCATGAGAAATAAAATAATAATAAAAATCAATAATAAACCAATAAATAAAATTGACAAACATTTAATAAAAAAATGTTAATATTTACTAATAAACAATATTTTCATGTATGTATCAAAATATAAAGGCCTATACTTTACATATACATACATATTACATATATCTAATACATATACTTTTGCATATTTATGAATGTAATTATTTATTTGTTTATGAGTGAATGACATTTTTAATCCATCAGCAGAGCAGCTCGAGATTAAATGGAAAACATCAACAGTCATTAATCTGAAGGGATTGATGGTCTGATTTCTCCCACGGTGGCTGGTTTTCAGAAAACACCCACACCTCTGACTGACTCCAAACTTGCACCAACACAGCAGGCATAAGTGAAGCTGGACTTTTTAATCATGGAATTTTTTTTGTATGTGGGAGAATACATGCTGTGCAACTTCTAAAAATGCCACTTACATGCTGTAAGGGAAATGTAAGACAGAGAAACCTGTGTGTATATTTATGATCTTTGTGACAGAGTAGCTTTGTGGTTGATGATCTGGGCTGACATGATAAATATTGCATGCTCGGTCCCATGTAGAGGCCCCCCCCCACCCCCCACCCCAAAAAAAGGGGGAATTTTGTTGAACCAGATCATGAGGGGCAGCCAACTGAAATCTTAAATGCATATCCACTGCAATTTCCTGACATACTAAGCAGGCTAATATCATCTGTCAAAGGTTTTGCACTGTCCAGTACATCAGTAACTGGCTGTGCTTACACAAACAGCAAGGAACTGTGGGATAGCGCTGTGGGAAACTCTACAGCAAACCAGGATTAGTTCCATTCTGCAATGCCAGTTATTCCAATTAAATTCCATCAAATTCAGTCATTCCAGTTAACTGGAGAGATTCATTTCCAAATAATATCTTCATATATTTTCCGTATATCAGCTGTGCAATAACCAACCATATGGAGCGCTACCACACAGCACAAACAGTGAAGCGTAATTAAAGTTTCCTGATGATTGCATTAATTAATCTTTACATAAAGTGCAA